CTCTCTCTGTCTCTCTGTTCTTCTCTCTCTGTCTTTGTCTCTCTCTCTCTGTCTTTCTGTCTCTGTTTTCCTCTCTCTGTCTTTGCCTCTCTCTCTCCCTCTCTCTCCGTCTCTCTGTCTGTCTCTATCTCTGTCTCTCTCTGTCTCTCTCTCCCTCTCTCTTTGTAAATGCCTCCCCTCTTTTCTTTCCCTATTTTTTCCCTTCCATTTTCCCTTCCCTACCTTCCCTACTATTTACTTTTGTACTTTGTTTGTATGTTATATTATAAACTAATCAAAAATGGTGGTGGTTATTTTTAAAAAAAAGAGAAAATCAGACTTATGACTTCCTTTCAATAGATGGTGGCTACATAAATGCTGGAGATGTTTAGTAAGATTAGATAAAATGCCACCTCCACCTCCAGCTTATGCATTGATCTTTTCATCTAATATATTGTTCATATTTTAATACTTAATGTTTTAATATTTCTGACTTTTAAATCCACCTATATTGTTATTTATGATAGCATAAGCTGGCCAAATTTGGTTGATAGCGAGATGGGTGGCAAATAAATTTAATAATAAATAAATGTATTTCATAAATAAATGAAATAGAGATCTACAGAAGCAATCTTATGCAAAGCTCTTTCACAGCAGTTCTTGCTATAGTATGCCTTGGTCTAAGATCTATCACCAAGTCCAGGAAAGTAAACGGGTTTTATTCAATTTCTAACTGGGTCCAAGTCTTTGTATGTCATTTTGATCATCCAGATAGGTATAGATTATAGTTAGAATTTTAGTGCAGAAAAATGCTGCTTAAAGACCATTTTTAGGAGGATGGGCAAGAAATATTTCCCTAATATTTACTTTTGTATTTTCTTTGTATGTCACATTATAAATGAATGAATGAATAAATTATTTATTGGCCAAGTGTGATTAGACACATAAGGAATTTGTCTTGGTCCATAGGCTCTCAGTGTACATAAAAAGAAAAGATACATTCATCAAGAATCATAAGGTGCAACACTTAATAAAAGTCATAGGGTTCAAATAAGCAATCAAATCATACTAGGAATCAGTCAATATAAATCGTAAGGATACAAGCAACAAAGTTACAGTCATACAGTCACACTGTGATGACCCGTAGTCTCTCAAAATAACCCCAAACCCAAAACATATATTAAAGTCCGGTAAAGCCTTCAATTTAACTTCACTGTTTTATTAGGCACAGTTTACAGTCACAAAAGTAATTAAGGAGGCAAACAGAAAACCAAAACAAACCGCATTGATGAGAGTTCTGAAGCAAGCCGAGATAACTAATTATAAAGTCCAGGAAAATAACTGAGAAAAGTCCATGGGAAGAACGCCAGCAAAGATAAGCCTCTTTCAAGGTGAACACTAATTGACTTCAGCAATTCTAACTGCTCAGTTGCAAACTTATATACATAGCTCCCACCTGCAAGCCACGAGGAGGATCATGGTAATCTCCTCTTGAGTAGACCTCGCTTTTCCCTGATCCTCTCCTCCCTGCGTGACCTAGGATGGATAGGGGAATGGGCCTGGATCCTCCTCTGACTGCTCAGCCGGCCTCTGCCCTTCCCCAGCCTCCTCTACCACCTCTGGAGCCACACTCCCACTCCCTGTTGGCTGTTCCTCCTCTTCCTCAGAGTCCACCAGGGGCATGACACACAAGTGGGAAGGGATGGGTGATAAGGAGTGATGGGAAGATTAATAGTAATAGTAGTGCAGACTTTGTAAATATTTGAACAGTGTTGAGGGGATTATTTGTTTAGCAGAGTGATGGCGTTTGGGAAAAAACTGTCCTTGTGACCAGTTGTTCTGGTGTGCAGGGCTCTATAGCGTCGTTTTGAGGGAAGGAGTTGAAACAGTTTATGTCCAGGATGTGAGGGGTCTGTAAATATTTATAAATAAAAAAAACCATATTAAATTAATAATAATAATAATAATAATAATAATAATAACTATATTAAAAGATGAATGTACCAATGCACAAACACCCCCTTTTGCAGATAGTACCACATCTGATGTTTGCCGATTCTGTAACACAATCTCACTATGCAATCCTTATCTGTTTTCATTTGTCTGTTTTCCTTTCTTAGCTGTTATATCGAGAGTGGGCACGATATGGAGCGTTTTACAAGTTTCAGCCTATTGACCTCATAAGGTAAAACTTCCTTGGTTAATAGATATCTGTGATCCTTTCTATGATGTGCACTACCGTGCATTAATCTCACACGTGGATCTTGCAAAATTGCCTCTCTTTTTACATCATCTTCGTTTATGTTGTTCAGTCACCAAGTCGTGTCTGACTCTTCGCAACCCCGTTGACCATAGCATGCCAGATACTCCCTTTGTCCTCCACTGTCTCTTGGAGTTTGCCCAAATTCATGTTCATTGTGTTGATGACACTGTCTAACCAACTAGGCTGTTGCAAAACAAAGGACCTAATGTCACTTCTCCAAAAGTCTGTAGAGATTCTCAGTCATCCAAGTCATGGTTGTCCCAAAAGTGCTTTTTTTTTTCTTTTTTCCACATTTTGGACAGAGTGGACAGCGGGTTTGAAAGAGGGGTCAACGTGGCCATTTGTGTCAAAATTGAACAGCCCTCTCTCAACAGAGGGGGAGGGATGCAACATCATCTATCTCCAGTCTACAACACAGTTCCTTTCAGCAGTTCTAAGAAGGCTCCGCACCCATTTGCACCACTCAGGTGACCCTGAGGACACAGATAAACCTCCAAGTGGCCTCAACGACCCTCTAAAACAATGCAAATGACCAGCTGTTTGCAAGGAGTATAAATCCTTCCATTCCCCAGAGCTGAAAAAGCTTCTTGGATGAGAAGTGAAAGGTTTTCAAAGAAAAAATGGAAAGTCCAGTTGCCTCTTGAAAAAAAGCACCTTTGGAACAACTGGGCTTTCTTTCTTTGTTTGTTTTTCCTTGAAGACATTTGCTTCGCATCCAAGAAGCTTCTTCAGCTCTGACTGGATGGTGGGGAATGGAAGGATTTATACTCCTTGAAGACAGCTGGTCATTTGCATACTTTTAGAGCAGGCCTGTCAAACTGGGGGCATGTGTCATGCCCCCCCAGCTCTGCAAAGGCAAAAAAAATGTTGCGATACATCATGTTACATCACATACATAGTTGTGAATACATGAAATGGGTACATATAAGAAAAATAAAAGAAGAATAAGAGAAACAATAGGACAGGGACGGTAGGCACGTTGGTGCGCTTATGCACGCCCCCTACAGACCTCTTAGGAAAGGGGTGAGGTCAATAGTAGACAGTCTAAGGTTAAAGTTTTTGGGGTTTGGGGAAGAAACTACAGAGTCGGGTAGAGTATTCCAGACATTGACCACTCTATTGCTGAAGTCGTATTTCCTGCAATCAAGTTTGGTGCGGTTAACTTTGAGTTTGTATCTATTGTGTGCTCTTGTGTTGTTATGGTTGAAGCTGAAGTATTCATTGACAGGTAGGACATTGCAATGTATGATACATTGCAATGTATGACATGACACAATTGAGTTTGACACCTGTGTTTTAGAGAGTCATTGAGGCCATTTGGAGGTTTATCTGTATCCTCAGGGTCACCTCAATGACTCTCTAAAAGGATGCGAATGACCAGCTGTCTGCAAGGAGTATAAATCCTTCCATTCCCCTCCATCCAGTCAGAGCTGTAGAAGCTTCTTGGATGAGGAGCGAAACATCTTGAAAGAAAAACCAGAAAGTCCAGTTGCCTCTTGAAAAAAGAAATAAGCTACATCATTGTTTCTTTTCTTTTTTAAGCCATAGGAGAATGATAATCTTCGTGTTTTTCCCCTTGTGCGAAAAAGCAAATGATTACAGAAGTGTAAAGAGAGCATTAAATAATTTCTACCTTCTTGCTCGACATAAAAAAAGTTAATGATTGGTTGAACCATCTTGGTTCTCCAGGAGAGGGGATATTATTTCCTAGCATCAGAAAAAGAGAGCCTGTATTTACCACTAAACTAATCCTAGGAAGAATCTTTAAGGCTCTCCTTTCCTAAGTCAAATTGTTGTTATCATCCCGTTCCAGCATTTATGAGCTGTGTTTGATCAGCTCAGAATCATAACCTTTGCTGAGAAAGAAAGATTTAAACAGCATCTCTCCATCGGCTATTTTTCAGGCTGCTTTGAATCATAAAAACAATCATAAATTGTAGGGCTGAATCTATATTGTTGCATGTTTGCCTCTACGCTGATCGACAGCCTGATAAATTAATTACACCGTTCCAGAAAAATATAGATTTTTTTTTGTTTGTTTGTATGGGAGAGAAAAGAGGCTTAGAATTAACTGGTAAAGGGATTAAGGCAGGTTTTCCTGTGTATTAATCCTGTATAGCTGATGAGCTGGCTGACCTTGTCTGGATTTTAAAACTAATCAGGGACCGACCTGGTTAATCCTTGGATAGTTGATTCTTGGGAGGAAATCCTGGGGCTGGAGGCTGCAGTAGGAAGTTGTGAAGAAGAAGGAAAAAAAGCAACAACAATGAAACATCCAGAGGAAGGAAAAATGAACGCCCTCTGTTTCATAACCAAGAAAAGCCTATTGGGTATCTGCAAAGTTGCCAAGCGTTAAGGGCAACTTCAGACATCTTCGCTTTAGAGATAAATAGAGAGGAGAGCAGGAGATAAGCAGAATTCCAACACAAACCTTGATACATAGAACATAGAATAATAGAGTTGGAAGGGACCTTACAGGTCTTCTGGTCAAACTCCCTGCTTAAGCAGGAGACCCAATACCATTTCAGATAAATAATTGTCTAGTTTCTTTATGAAAGCCTCCAGGTGTGGGGTGGGGTGGAATAGAATGGAATGGAAAAAAGGGAAACAAAATTGGAATATTAGCAAACAGACAGGATGAGGGAGAAGTTATAGAAATTGAGGAGCTGCTAGGAAAAAAAGTGAGATTTAGATAGATATTTAGATTAGGATTTATAATTACCTAGATATACTGTAAAAATATACAGAAATATGCGATTTTCCGGTTTGTCGGCTTTGCGAGCGGTAGGGATTCGCGAAGCTGCGCGATCCCTGCCGCGCTAGCCGCTTTTGGGGCTCCGATCCGAAAGGGTGCGGAGCAAGGCTGCCCTGCAGGGGCAGCTGAAGGTAGGGGGGATCCGGAAAAGGGTTTGGGGGTGTTGCAGACCCCCTCCCTGGCCGGCAGAACCCCCTTTTACCAAGACGGTGTAGCGGCGGTCCGTAATGGCCGCCACAAAGAAGCTGGCAGCTGGGCAAGTATGCGCAGGAGGAAGAGGAGAAAGTTTTTAAAAGTGAAAGTCTTCTTGGTCGATCCAGGACTCTGAGATATATTTACTTTAATTCCTGGAAGTGATGGTTTTTTGGATGATTCTTTCCACAAAAGAAAGCAGGCGGCAATTTTGAGGTGCTGAAAGGAAAGTTTACTCTCCCTCCCGATGGAATTAACAAACGGATATTGAGAAACCTGTTTTTTTTTTCAGGTAAAACTAGCTATATGGGATAAGTCGGAAGGGAGAGGACAGAAAAAAATATATTTATCTGGTTGGATTTTGTTGGAGGAGATGCCTTAAGGATTTGGAGACAGAAATAAAATTTTAATAAGGCTTCAAAATACAGATTTGGATTTTCTTTTTTCCTTTGTCTGACACTACCCCTGGAAGAGAAAGGGGAAATTTTGGCTTGGCTTGGATTGATTGAGGATTGTGGACTGTGGGATTGTCTTCCCTTCTTTTTGGAATATTTTGGTTGGAGTAAGAAGAAAGAGGGAAAAAAAGAAAAGAAAAGATTTATAATGGCTTTCTCCTTTGAGGAATTGAGGGATGAATATGAGCAAACAAAAGCAGCCTGTAAAGATGGCATGGAAAAAGCTTTTCTATTTTTAGAAATGGCGCTGGTTAACTATGAACAGACAATGCGACAGATGGGACAACAACAAGAAGAAGACAAAGACACCATCTTTAATGAATCCCAAAACTTATCTAAGAAAGAAGGAAGGAAGAAAGCGAGGAAAATGAAGGACTTAAGATCTAAAAAAACATTTAAGAAAGAGAAAAATATGATGCAAAATAAATACAATGATAGTAAACAAGAGAAAAAGGGAATACAACAGAGAAGGGATGCCAGCAAGACAGAGGTTAGAAGAAGGGGGGGTAGGAAGATCTGGTGGGGGAAGAAAGAAAGGGGAAAGGCGGAGAAAAGCCACAAAGTTTTAAAATTGGATGGGAAAAGAGGAATCTTTTTTAGGGATAAAGGGTAAAGTATAAATTTTCTTTAAAAAGATTTTGCAAGGTACATAAGATGGTATTGTAACATTTGTATTAGAAATAAAAAATTAGAATGGCTTAAGAGTTAATAAGAAATTAAAATGTTGAAATGTTTAATAATGATTGATTTTTAAAATGTATGCTATAAGATTTATTATTTAGATTTATTATTTAACTACGCATTTAGGAGGATACTATGTATTTAAACATTTTTGATTTATTACTCTGTTTTTATTGTTATTAAAAGTAAAAATTAATAGATAGAATGTACCAAGCAGAATCAGATTGGGTATTAGATGTTATTTTAAATGTTAATCTAATATTTAGGGAGAGGATAGAAAGGCATCATACTCTGATTAGTGATTTCAGGAGAAATTCTTTTTTTTTTCATTATAAGGAATGAGATAGAGGGATAGTGAAGGATGGGCAAAAGATACAAATATAATGAATTAAATTAAGATGGATTGAATAAGATAGAATTATGAAGAGTGAAATGTGTGGAGAAGTATATATAGAAGATATAGAATGGTAAACAAAATAGATAATGATCTGTAAGATGAGCATGAATATAATTAAAGCCCATATAAAGAGAGGTACCGGGGGCCAAGTTACTTTACTAAAGGATTTTTTATATGTTTGTTTGTGTCTGTTTATGTTTTTGAGAAGCATTGGTGAAACCTTTTAGAAATACAGAAAGAGAATGACGATAATCTAGTCAGAAAGAAATAGATGAAATAATGGTGGTGAAATTGGATAGGAGTGAGGAGAAGTAAAGAGAAATTGGATAAGAGATGTTTTTATGCTCATATGGAAATTGTTTAAAATAGAATTGTATTGTATAAGATAAGGTTTTATCTGACTTGTAAAATTTATGATGGAAAAAGGTTCAAATATGTAATGGTTGATGATGATTTGTTTGTTTCTGAAATTAATAAAACTTGCTTAAAATATATATATATATATACAGAAATATGCAATAATGAATGATAAAAATGTGTTCCCTTCCTCCTCCCATACTTATGGAATATTAAACTACAGCACATAGTCTACAAATACTCTTGATTTTTGTTTTAGGTAAATGTATACATATATTAAGTGTCAATATGATATTCTTTTTTCTCTTGTTTTTTTCTTATCTTCCCTTTTTACTTGAATTAGTGGCCCATAAAGATGATACAGCTTTATTTATTAACATTAATTAAGAACTGCAAATTAATATAGTTAATATGAAAAAAACCTGTCAAATTCTAAGTGTACATATGATAGTGTACTGCCAAGAAAATGATATTGAAAGATGTCAATATAATTTCTATTACAGAAACTTTTGTAAACTTTTTAATATCTTGAACTTTAATAAAGTACTTTTTAAAAAAAATTAAAAAAAAGAATGGAATGGAATAGAATAAAAGAGTAGGGTAGAGTAGAATAGAATAGAATAGAATATTTATGCAGCAATAGAAAAATAAAGTTGCTATTTTAATTAGAATGGAATGGAATAGAATAATAGAATAGAATGGAAAGGCATGGCATGGCATGGAGAATACAGAATAGAATATTTATACAGAAATAGAAAAATAAAGTTGCTGTTTTAATTAGAATGGAATAGAATAATAGAGTAAAGTGGAGTGGAGTGGAATGGCATGGCATGGCATGGCATGGAGAATAAAGAATAGAATATTTATACAGAAATAGAATAATAAAGTTACTGTTTTAATTAGAATGGAATGGAATGTAGAATAGAATAGGAAATTAAATTAGAATAGAATAGAATAGAATAGAATAGAATAGAATAGAATAGAAAAATAGAGTTGGAAGGGACCTTGGAGGTCTTCCAGTCCACCCTCCTGTATCATTCCAGACAAGTGACTGTCCAGTCTTTTCTTAAAAGCCTCCAATGATGGAGCATCCATGACTTTTGAAGTCAAGCTGTCCCAATTAATGAATTATTCTCCGTTATAGCATAAAATCTCCAGAAACCTCCAGGACCCGTGCCTCCTGAAAAAAACCACGTCCATGTATTTTAAGGAAGATAAATTGTAGCAAAGTACACCTTCCTCTCTTTACCTGTGTGTTGTGTTTCCTTCCTTTAGAAAGTATTTTGGAGAAAAAATCGGAATGTATTTTGCCTGGCTGGGGTTATATACCGAATTTCTTATTCCATCCTCTCTCATTGGGATTGTCGTGTTTGTCTACGGGTGTCTGACCATTGAAGAAGATGTTCCAAGGTGAGGCATCACACACTATAGAGCCATAGGTGGCACACAGAGCCATTTGTGCTGGCATGTGAGCCGCAGGCAAACTTACCTCACTGCACATGCACGTGCCTCACAGCTGATTTTCGGCTGGTTTGAGGCCTTTTTCGGCCTCCCAGAGGCTTGAGGAAAGCCTTTGCAGGCCAAAAAATAGGCCCGTTTTGTCACTTCCTGTTAATACCAGAAGTGACGAAATGGGCCTATTCGGCCTGCAGAGGCTTTTTTCAAGCCTCTGGGAGGCCGAAAAAGGCCTCAAACCAGCTGAAAATCAGCTGTGAGGCGCAGTGCAGGTAAGGGGGGGTGGGGGGACTGCGCGCGCATGCGCAGGTGGCGTGGGGGGCGCATTGCCTTCTGGGTGCTGGCATGCGAGAGCACGAGCACCAGCCTGCACACAATTTTTGGCACAGAAGCCCAAAAAGGTTAGCCACCACTGCTATATAGGCTTTGTCCTAAAAAAATATTTGGACTCCTGCTAAAATATACCAAGTGTGGAGCTGAACACTTTGCTGAATATTTTCAGCTGGAAGAAGAAGACCTATTAAGAGCATCAATGCTATTTTTTTCTTCCGGTCTCCGATAAACCTGATTATTTTCTCTCTTCCTTGTCCTTATGTAGTCCTTGACTTACAACCATTTACTTAGACACCATTAGAACTCATAAAAAGAAGTGCAGCCGGTCCTTGCTCTTATGGCCATTGGAGCATCCCCAAGATCATGGGATCAACGTTTGGTTGCTTGGCAACGGGCATGTATTTACGAAGTTTGCAGCATCCTCGAGTCATGGTACCTCCCTTTGCAACCTTCCCAGACAGCAAAATCATTGGGGGGGGGGAGCCAGATCCACTTAGTGACTACGTAATTTGCTTAACTGCTGAAGTGATTTGCTTAACAATGGTGGCAAAAAAAGGTGGCAAAATGGGGTGTGACTCCCTGAACAACTACCTTGTTTGTTCAGCAATGGAAATTCTGGGCCCTGTGGTTGTCATAAGTGAAGGACTATCTGTGTCCTCTTCTGCTTGCTTGGTTTCCTTAAAATAAAGATATGAATCTTTGAATGAAAGATTAAGGCAGAGGTGTCAAACTCAAGGCCCTGGGGCCAGATCCAGCCCACAGGGTGTTTAAATCTGGCCCATGGGGAGAGTGGTGGGATTCAATGTTTTTTTACTACCAGTTCTGTGGGCGTTGCTTGGTGGGTGTGGCATTGTTGTGGTTTGCCAGCAACTGGTGAAGACAGCAGCGGAGTCAGACAATGAGGACGAAAAGGAACCAGTCTGGGAGTCTGGGGAGGAGTCGGACAAGGGTCCTGTGTCTGATGCAAGGATGGGGCCAGGACCATCTGGGAGTGGGGTGCTGACTCCGGAGCCTCCAGAGTCTGGCAGCAGCGAGGCAGAGGACCCAGGGGAGCCTGTTCCCAGTGTGCGTGTGTGCAGAGCTGCTAGAAGGCGAGAGCAGCTGAAGCAGAAGGGGTGACTCAGGAGTAAGGCTGGGAGCAGTGGTGGGATTCAAATGTTTTTACTACGGTTCTGTGGGCATGGTTTGGTAGGTGTGGCAGGGGAAGGATACTGTAAAATCTCCAGTCAGAGGTAGTATTTGCTGGCTCTCCAAACTACTCAAAATTTCTGCTACCAGTTCTCCAGAACTGGTCAAAACCTGCTGAATACCACCTCTGGCTGGGAGGTGATTGCCCCTCCCATAAGGGATAAAAGTCAGACTCCAATAATGAAACCTTTGCAGGAAGCAAAGCAGTTCAATTAGATTCCGAGTCCTTTTTGAAAGTCTGCGTACTCTGGTCGGTTTTTTCTGATACTTCGGGTGGGTTCTGTTCTAATTACTTTGAAGACTTCTGTTTTTGGCAGCATTCCCCAGCACTGACAAGCATGGGCTTATCTTGAGGAACTGTTTATAATGAGTTCTGGCTAGAAATGAAAGTCATTCCCAGCATTGCATTAAAATAGGTTTTGCTTTTGAAACAAGTTTGTGCTTCAGTACATTTGACTAAGCCTAGGTCAGAACAGGTGTGGCTTGGTAGGCATGGCTTGGTGGGTGTGGCAGGGGAAGGTTACTTCAAAATCCCCATTCCCTCCCCACTTCACTAACCTGCTTTCCAGCTCTGTTCTCCTGTGCAGGGCAACCAAAGAAGACCCAGCCAGTCAGCTGGGACTCAATGGGAGGCAGAGAATAGATGGGGGCGGGCCAGGCAGAGGTGGGATTTGCTGGTTCTCTGAACTTCTCCAAATTTCCGCTACCGGATCTCCAGAACCAGTCAGAACCTGCTGAAGAGCACCTCTGCATGGGGCCGTGCTGGAAATAGAGAAGCACCGGCCTGCGGTGCCTTGGCCAGCGAAGGCACGTGTCGTGCTCCCGAATTCTGTTTTCGTTGGCAGAGGGTTGCAGGAGGCTGTTCCAGCTGGCAGACCACTCATGCCACTATAGGTGCCCCTAACATGGGTAACGTTGAGCTGGAATGCCCACCCTGGCCACACACACTTCTTTTGTCGCCCTGCACAGGAGAATGGAACTGGAAAGCAGGTTAGTGAGGTGAGGAGAGAATGGGGATTTTACATTAACCTTCCCCTAGGAGTGGGGAGGGAGTGGGATTTTGCAGTATCCTTCCCCTGCCATGCCCATCAAGCCACACCCACAGAACCAGTAATAAAAAAAAATTGAATCCCACCAGTGGTTCTACTCCTTTAAGAGGTGTTTATATAAAGGCAGCCATTAGAGGGCATGTTCTTTCTCTTTGTTCCCCGGTATTCATTGCAGAGTTCTCCATGTAGAGTTAAGAAGAAGTTTGATTGCTTGTAAGGTATTTTGCCTACCATGTATATTTCTGTATATAACTGTTGCAGATTAACCACTGTTAAATACCGAAGTCTCTGTGTGCTGTGTTTTGTTCCTGGGTTGTCTCATAATAGCAGTCACACTGCAAACGCTCTGTCACCCTTGTAACTTTGAGTGGTCACTAAATGAATGGTTGTAAATCAAGGGCTACCTGTACTAGCAAACAGCTGGAAGCTTTCCCTGCATGAAGCTCATGTCTGATCTTTTGGGCTTTGCTCTTTTTAGCAAGGAGATGTGTGACCAACATAATGCCTTCACCATGTGCCCTTTGTGTGACAAGACATGTGACTACTGGAACCTCAGCACAGCTTGTGGAACTGCACGTGCCAGCCACTTATTTGATAATCCAGCCACCGTCTTCTTCTCCGTTTTCATGGCCCTCTGGGGTAAGCTTGCTTCAAATATTTCCACACTTGACTAACCAAAAGAGAAGACAAATTGAAATAGAATAGAATAGAATAGAATAGAATAGAATAGAATAGAATAGAATAGAATAGAATAGAATAGAATAGAATAGAATAGAATAGAATCAGAGGTGGGATTCAGCAGGTTCTGACCAGTTCTGGAGAACTGTTAGGGAAAATTTTGAGTCATTTGGAGAACCGGCAAATCCCACCTCTGACTGGCCCCACCCCCATCTCTTCTCTGCGTCTCATTGAGTCCCAGCTGATCGGCTGGGTCTTCTTTGGTTGCCCTGCACAGGAGAACGGAGCTGGAAAGCAGATTAGTGGGTTGGGGACAGAATGGGGATTTTGCAGTTACCTTCCCCCAGGAGTGGGAGGGGATGGAGATTTTGCAGTATCCTTTCCCTGCCATGTCCACCAAGCCACTCCACGCCCACCAAGCCACGCCCACAGAACCGGTAGTAAAAAAATATCAATCTCACCACTGCTGGGGTGACATGATAGCAGTCTTCCAATATCTCAGGGGCTTCCACAAAGAAGTGGGAGTCAACCTATTCTTCAAAGCACCTGAGGGCAGGACAAGAAGCCATGGGTGGAAACTAACCAAGGAGAGAAGCAAACTAGAACTAAGGAGAAATTTCCTGACAGTTAGATCAATTAATCGGTGGAGTTTTAAAGAAGAGATTGGGCAACTATTTCTCTGAAATGGTGTAGGGTTTCCTGAGCAGTGGGACAGCAGATTTCCTGAGCAGAGGATTGGGCTGGAAAAACTGCAAGGTCCCTTCCAATTCTGTTGTTATTCTGAAGGATCTTAGATTAGAAGAAGGAATGGCTTTACTTACTGAATTGGCTTTAGCTACTGATTTATAACTTAGAATTGTTGGTCTCTGACTCTGGTAATGTGTGTGCCTGAAAGTGGAAGAATTACTTTAAAAGCTACTCTGGAATCACAGGATAGAGTGGGCTGTAAATTTCATGAATGAATGTCCTGCAAAGTCCATTTGCAATTAGACACTAAGATTTAGACTGGAATGAGGACTATTATTCCTCACTCCCCATTGCAGTATTTCTGTATATACTACTAAAACTGTCTTGGTCATGACCTTTAACTGGGAGAAATAGTGCATCACAGGGGATTAAGTTTTGAACCAGAGTACCTTAAATGGGCTAATTTATAGTGTGTGTCCAAAATTGGGCATCCCTGATGCCCAAGAAAATGAAATTTGGGGACGTTGTGGCTGCTACTGATGGCTGCTACACCGCTGAGATGCTGCAGATATTTCATTTTCATTTTCAATGTTCTGTGACAGTTTCCCAGCCACTCTCACAATCCCTTACTTCCTCCTTCATGCAGACGCCGCCGCCATTTGCATGCCAGCTGGGAAGGGAAGGGAAAGGGAAAGGTTATAGAAATAGCTGGTGTGTTGTAGCCTAAATAACATTCTTTTCCCTGGGAATCAAGGGCATTCGTGTAGGTGTTCGAGAGGTCACCTAGCAACTGAACTACATGCTGATTGGACCATGTGACTGGGGACTCTTGGGGGGAAGTGACAAACATTTACTTTTAATTGGGTGTGAAACTGGTGGGAACCTAGCAATAGCAACAGCACTTAGGCTTACAAACCACTGTATAGTGCTTTACAGCCCACTCTTAAGTGATTTAAAGAGTCAGCATATTCCCCCAACAATCTGGGCTCTCATTTTACCCACCTCGGAAGGATGGAAGGCTGAGTCAACCTTGAGCCTAGTGAGATTTGAACTGCCAAATTGCAGGCAGCTGGCAGTCAGCAGAAGTAGCCTGCAGTACTGCACTCTAACCACTGCGCCACCACAGCTCAACTTAGAGCCGGTTTTCCACCAAGTCTGTGCCAATTTGGGATGTCCCAATAAAATGTTCTTTGAGGTATATGCCTGCCTCAGAATTCTCATTGAAGGGGATGTATTACCTTGACACTTTGCATCTTACAAAACAGATAAAATTGTATTATTCTAAGCACAGCTCTGGTAGGTTCACTGAACGCTTGTCTTTGCTTAGCAACAAGAAATGTTCAGCTCCATTGTGGCCATAAGTTTGCCCGTCTAGGGCAGGTCAAAAACTGCCTACGCTATACAGGGCAGACTCCAGAAAAGATACTTTAGTTAAGCTAAGGGGGAAGATATACATCTCTCAAACCACAGTTCTCCCCTCCCTCACCCATGTGCATTCTTAGAATGAGAGTCATTGGGTGAAACTGATTGACAGCTTGTTGAGCAGAGGCAAAAAGGAAGAGCTGCGTTGCAGAGTACTTGATGAACATAAGGAAGCCATTACCATGGAAGTTTGCTAATGGGTAGCAGCTCAGAGGACTTTAAAAATAGACTGTGGAAAGGCCTGGAGGTATTCCCTGTCACCCATAACAAACTCTTGTCTTGACTTATAATTGTCCAATTGTCAGGCTGTGGACACAAACCCTGAGAACTTAGCGTGTTTCCATGACGTGAGACTAGGGAGCTTCCTTGGTGCCCTGAAGGAAGCGTGGCCAAGTGTACAAAGCCCTGCTGAGAAGCACCAAATTAAATCAGAGTTGTTGAGAGATGTATTCCGGGTGGAATGTGGTAATAAATTCAGCTTAATGGATTCGTCCCCCCACCCTAAGAGGATGGGAGGGAGGGAGGGTGGAAAGAAAGAAAGAAAGAAAGAAAGAAAGAAAGAAAGAAAGAAAGAAAGAAAGAAAGAAAGAAGAAAGAAAGAAAGAAAGAAAGAAAGAAAGAAAGAAAGAAAGAAAGAAAGAAAGAAAGAAAGAAAGAAAGAAAGAAAGACGAATGGAAGGAAGGAAGGAAGGAAGGAAGGAAGGAAGGAAGGAAGGAAGGAAGGAAGGAAGGAATATGAGAAAGGGAAGGAAGAGAAAGAAAAGGGAAGAATGGATGAATGGATGGAAGGAAGGAAGGAATATGAGAAAGGGAAGGAAGAGAAAGAAGAGGGAAGAATGG